TTCCCCCCCCCCCATGCCCCCCTTTCCTTTCAACTAACTATAAAAAAAAGGCCCCTAGAGCCAAAAAAACCTTAAAAAAAAAAAAAAAAAAAAAACTTCTGACAAGCCTTTACAACCATTCCACCATCAGCTGAAAAGGCAAAAAAATAGTGCCCTCTATGAGGAAGATGAACAGGAAAAGGCCAAGCATACCAATAACCCCTGATGCTAACTGTGGTAGCGCTATAACCTTGCTGAAACCTAAAAAACTTTGAAAGATGCAAAGGTAGACAAACATTACAGTAAAAGAGAAAATAAACAAGGTGGTAAATGTTACTGTTGTATATCTGCCACTTACTTGATGGCTTCACACATGTCCAGACCCATTTTCACACAGTTTTTAGCGTGGTTTGGCAAAGACTCCGGGAGCCCAGAGACACAGTAGTAACAGTCGCCAAGAATTTTGATTCGCATACATTCATTTTCCTGCACAGAGAAACACACAGAAAAGTTACTGAAAGACCTTCCAAGTGGCCTTTTAAATGTAATCTCACCAAATCACCTTTTAAAGACCTTTCTGAGCTCATCACATTTTCTTCACCGTTAAGTACACGATAGGTGAAAATAAAATTTTGTCATGTTAACCACAGCAAATTGAATCACTAGGTGTAACTCTATATGAAATAATAGCCAGGGTAATGGTAAAAGACATTTGGATATGTGAGAGCAGGTTAGTTGACGTATAATTTGTGAGTTTGAATATCAGCTTTGTTACTTGGCATGCAGCAAAGCTGCCCAATCAGCGATGGTTAAGACCAATAAAAATATTGACCAGGATCTAAGAAAGGCTTTTTACCTTTGCAATTTGATCAAATTTGCCAAACAGCTCATTCAGCATGTGCACCAGTTCTCCCGGTGAGCAGTCACTGGCCAGGCGTGTGAATCCAACTATATCTGCATAAAGGATGCTAAAACGGCAAAAGAAATAATTCATTTTAGTCAATTTATATTTCCCAGGAGGCAACATTGTTTTTGTCATGAGCTAATTCAGATCCCCATTTGGCCAAACACTGTCACAACAACTATTTAATCTACTACAGATTTCTTCTGTTTTTTCCTTATTGAGACAATTAAATGTTTCTGATTAAGCTAGTGCCAAATATTTCATTTATTGAAAGAAAAACCTATATTTAGTCAGGTTATCTTTGTATGATAAAACTTGCTTGATCATTTGAAACATACTGTCAAAGAAAAACAAAAAAAAGCACTTTTTTTTTTTGACAGCACCATGCAAATAGTAAGAACATCTACATGCCTGACGTTGGTGTGCCTCTGGACGTAGAGGTTGTGAAAGTTGTTTGTGTTCTCAATCTGGCCAAAGTTCGGTCCCTTCAGCCTCTGAATGATCTCAGCTTTCATTACACGAGCAATGTGAGCTGGCAGTAGAGACAAAAGAAGACGTTCCTGAAGAGAGTAACACAAAGAAATACACAGAATGCACAAGTGTCATTATAAAGTCAAAACAAAAACTAATGGAAACATACTATTACGACGACTGGCATGCCAAACACCTACTTCAGCATTACAAATTTCTTTCTCTGTTTTGACTGAACTAACAAGAACTTCAGAAAACTCCAGCTTTTCGCCAGCTCCTTTCTAGATAGATAGATAGATAGATAGATAG